TCCAGTTGAACCAGCACCATTTGTTGAAAATGCTGTCCTTTTTCCACTGGACAGTTTTAGCTCCTTTTGTCAAAGATCAAGTGACCATAGGAGTGTGGGTTCATTTCTGGGTCTTCAATTCTATTCCATTGATCTTCCTGCCTGTCTCTGTACCAATACCAGGTAGTTTTTATCACTATTGCTCTGTAGTACAGCTTGAGGTCAGGAATGGTGATTCCTCCAGAAGTTCTTTTATTGTTGAGAATAGTTTTCGCTATCCTGGGTTTTTTGTTATTCCATATGAATTTGAGAATTTCCTTTTCTAACTCTGTGAAGAATTGAGTTGGGATTTTAATGGGGATTGCATTGAATCTGTAGATTGCTTTTGGCAAGATGGCCATTTTTATTATATTAATCCTGCCAATCCATGAGCATGGGAGATCTTTCCATCTTCTGAGATCTTCTTCGATTTCTTTCTTCAGGGACTTGAAGTTCTTGTACAGGTCTTTCACTTGCTTGGTTAGATTCACACCAAGGTATTTCATATTATTTGCAACTATTGTGAAGGGTGTCATTTCCCTAATTTCTTTTTAAGTCTGTTTATCTTTCATGTAGAGGAAGGCTACTGATTTGTTTGAGTTGATTTTATAACCAGCCACTTTGCTGAAGTTGTTTATCAGGTTTAAGAGTTCTCTGGTGGAAGTTTGGGGGTCACTTAAGTATACTATCATATCATCTGCAAATAGCGATATTTTGACTTCTTCCTTTCCTATTTGTATCCCTTTGACTTCTTTTTGTTGTCTAACTGCTCTGGCTAGGACTTCCAGTACTATATTGAATAGGTAGGGGGAGAGTGGGTAGCCTTGTCTAGTCCCTGATCTTAGTGGGATTGCTTCAAGTTTCTCTCCATTTAGCTTGATGTTGGCTACTGGTTTGCTGTAAATTGCTTTTACTATGTTTAGGTATGGGCCTTGAATTCCTGATCTTTCCAAGACTTTTATCATGAAGGGATATTGAATTTTATCAAATGCTTTCTCAGCATCTAGTGAGATAATCATGTGGTTTTTTTCTTTGAGTTTGTTTATATAGTGGATTACATTGATGGATTTCCGAATATTGAACCATCCCTGCATTCCTGGGATAAAACCTACTTGATCATGATGGATGATTGTTTTGATGTGTTCTTGGATTCGGTTTGCTAGAATTTTATTGAGTATTTTTACATCAATGTTCATAAGGGAGATTGGTCTGAAGTTCGCTTTCTTTGTCGGGTCTTTGTGGGGTTTGGGTATGAGTGTAATTGTAGCTTCATAGAACGAATTGGGTCGTGTTCCTTCTGTTTCTATTTTGTGGAATAGTTTGAAGAGAATTGGTATTAGGTCTTCCTTGAAGGTCTGATAAAATTCAGCACTAAAACCATCTGGTCCTGGGCTTTTTTTTAGTGGGGAGACTTTTAATGAGTGCTGCTATTTCCCTAGGGGTTATGGGACTATTTAGATGGTTTATCTGCTCCTGGTTTAACTTTGGGACCTGGTATCTGTCTAGGAAATTGTCCATTTCTTCCAGGTTTTCCAGTTTTGTTGAGTATAGGCCTTTGTAGTAGGATCTGATGATTTTTTAAATTTCTTCAGTTTCTGTTGTTATGTCTCCCTTTTCAGTTCTGATTTTATTAATTTGGAGACTGTCTCTGTGCCCTCTGGTTAATCTGGCTAACGGTTTATCTATCTTATTGATTTTCTCAAAGAACCAACTCCTGGTTTTATTGATATTTTGTATTGTTCTTTCAGTTTCTATTTGGTTGATTTCAGCCTTGAGTTTGATTATTTCCTGCCTTCTCCTCCTCATGGGTGTATTTGCTTCTTTTTGTTCTAGAGCTTTTAGTTGTGCAGTCAACTTGTTAGTGTGTGCTCTTTCCAGTTTCTTTTTGTAGGCACTTAGAGCTATGAGTTTTCCTTTTAGCACTGCCTTCATGGAGTCCCACAAGTTTTTGTATGATGTGTCCTCATTTTCATTGAATTCTAAAAAGTCTTTAATTTCTTTCTTTATTTCTTCCTTGAGCAAGTCATCATTGAGTAGAGAGCTGTTCAGTTTCCATGTGCATGTGGGTTTTCCATTGGT